ATACACATTCACCTATAATTTTAGGTACTGTTACTGCTGGTGTACAACTAAACTATATACACATTCACCTATAATTTTAGGTACTGTTACTGCTGGTGTACAACTAAACTATATACACATTTACCTATAATTTTAAGTACTGTTACTGCTGGTGTACAACTAAACTATATACACATTCACCTATAATTTTAGGTACTGTTACTGCTGGTGTACAACTAAACTATATACACATTCACCTATAATTTTAGGTACTGTTACTGCTGGTGTACAACTAATCTTTATGAACATTTACCTATAATTTTAGGTACCTTATAAAAAGTTACCTATATTTGTAGGTACTGGTTGTGCTTATTTACAACAAGCAGCTTTACAAAGATTTACCTATAAGTTTGGGTGTTACCCTGCTTGTGTAGAACAAAGAACTTTACAAAGATTTGGGTACTGCCACCGCTTGGATACAACAAAGAACTTTATGAAAACATATCTATAGGTTTGGGTACTGCTCTGCTTTTGTAAAACATACAACTTTATAAAGACATACCTATAGGTTTGGGTACTGCCAAAGCCTGTGTACAATCATAAGGCAAACTACTCAGGGACCAGATAACTGGATGAACTTTCTCATGGATATTAAGCGAGAGGGATATCATAGAGCAAGTGTCTTGTCTCACAGCTACTCGTCTGGAAGAAAGAAAAAAAGAATTGAGTAAATCTGGTCTACCACCCTGCAGAGAATTACAGCATGCACATTAAGATGTTTATAAATTAATGTAGTATCTATATTAATAAAAAGGAAACTTGGAGTAATAGTCATGCAAGCTCGTTTCTCTGTTGAACATAAAAGTACATTCATATATAAAGATTTCTACTGAATATAAAAGTTAACAATTTCCTAAATTGAAAATGAATTTCCAATAATACATACCTCCGCTGACACTTATAGCTATTACTCGAAAACCAGGGTTTCTTCTTTGCCCATCTAAGCATTAGTCTGTTTTTTCTTGCTTGCTCTAGTCTTTTATACCCCACTTAATTGGCCTTGGCAATATTTGTCTCATGATACTCTCCATCTATGTTAATGGGCCCTCTATCCTGGTACTGTATATAAACACCCCATTCACATAATTATATCACTTTTTCTTAATTGCCCTTGGCAATATTTGTCTCATGCTACTCTCCATCTATGTTAATGGGCCCTCTATCCTGGTACTGTATATAAACACCCCATTCACATAATTTTATCACTTTTTCTTAATTGCCCTTGGCAATATTTGTCTCATGATACTCTCCATCTATGTTAATGGGCCCTCTATCCTGGTACTGTATATAAACACCCCATTCACATAATTATATCACTTTTCTTAATTGACCTTGGCAATATTTGTCTCATGGAACACCACATTTCTACAGAGCCTGTTGCAACCAGTAGTAATTAAAGTGAAATGATGGTTGCTAGTGCAGAATTGGTTTGATAAAAGCACATTAACTCGCCACAGAGTGGGATCCTGTGAAAACAAAGTAAGGGACCCTGAAAGGTAGAAATAAAAAAACTCACCCCTCTGAATAATCTAGCAGAAATAGTTAAGATAGCTACAGAGGGTAGGCAAAAACCCTCAGACGAAGAGACTGCCAGATCAAGCAAATTATGTGAGATAAAGATATTAAGGAAGTCTACGCACCAATCCACATAGTGACCTCCAGTGGGCAATTCAACTGGGCTGCTAAGGACATAGAAAAGAGAAATATGGTTAGATATGACTCACAGAGAGCCCAGAATAAAGGTATAAGTGCAGGCAACAAAACCTTCAAGACCATCACTGAACATGACCAAGATTAAAATTTGATTCGACATACAGAGAAAGAGTGAACAGATGAATTTGAGAAAAGGATTGAACCCCTTTCCTGTCTGACAGAGTTTTGGGTAAGAAGAAGAACTGATCTGAGGACATAGAAAGAATGAGAGTGATCTGTAGACAAACAGTGCAAATCACTCCAACCAGTAATGTCCATAGGCTAGCAGCCACGAAAAATATACCAGCAAGTAAAGGGGATCCATCCCATATAAGTCAGGTCACAAACAGGTGTAGAGAAACAACAAGTAACCTGCATCTACCTGTTAGCTAACTGGAATGGTCATTTGAAACCAGTTACCCAAAACAATGCAAGGAATCTGGAGAGTACTGGGGACTCAAAAGTATGTAGTTGTGATAATCAATTGGTAATCGATAAGGCTGCTATAAACAATGGCAATTGTGGAAGATGCAAAACCTCTGTCAAAGAGCCAAGTTAAAAAATGAGTTATGGTTGACACCACTTTCTCAATACAACATTGATGATATGCATGTCATTACCTTTGAGAAAAGTGACTTTTGGACTAAGCAGAAACTGAGCAAGATACATGTAAACCTTAGAAATTAAGCCCCAATGCTGTGTAAAAGATGGCATAACCTCTATACCAGAAGCATTGTGATCAACAGGACTGGACAATGGGTTGGAAAAAATCATATTTTGTACCCTGGGTAACATATGAAATGGAGAGAAGGTTGAGAGTGGTAATCCCATTCTGTCCAAATGGAAAGCATCTATTGCCAAGGCCCAAAGATGAAGTACTGGAAACCAAGTTGCCAGTAGTTGGGTAATCAAATGAGAGACCAACCCACCAACTGGAGTTGCAAAATAAGAGGCAATTCAACTGAACCTTGCGATGCAACATCTATTCTGTTGGGAGAATCTGTTTGGATTGAGACAATGGACCTGCTACTACAGGCATTACCCGTGGAACATGGCAAGCTAGAAGGGTGATAAGACTAGTCCCAAGAAAGGAGGTCCAAAATTCGAAAATAAGGTACCCTAGACCACATGCCTCCTTGATGAGAAACATAAGACACCACTGCGGAATAGTAGAGTGAAGCCTGATGATTTACCCCTTAACTCTCTCGGAACAGGGTCGGTCAATTTGACCGACTCACGTGACCTTTTGTACTCAGTTAAAGTCTTTATAAAATAATACTTATAACTCTTAATATATTAGGTATATCTTCATGAAATTTGGCAGTCTTTCAGTTAATATGACAAGTCTTTCACATACAAAAAAGTCATATTTCTTAGTGAAGTATCTTTAATCAAATAAAATAAAGATTTGTTCTTAAATATATTGAGTATTTGTTTTGAATAGTCCATGTGCAAAGTAATTTTCATGTTAAAATTAAAAATACTTTTTGTCATCTCACAAATCTCAAATTTCCTTTGTGTAGTAATCCCTAAAACCTCCTTAATGCATTTCACACGCTTTTTCGCTAAATCCTTATACTTTATCTGTTATTTTCTCTACCCTATCTCAAAACGGTATCAGTCAATTCAACCGACCTCGTAACAGATCACAAAGCATTATAAATAGTTTTATAATGTTAACAATATTCAAAATATCACTCTTCACTCATACTACATTTTCAATATTTCAGACAATACATACTAATATCAACAGTCTATCATTAGAACAATAATTATATTACCATTCTACTCACACCTATTTTTCAACAGTTCTAACAATAATTAAGATTACACTCTACACACCCAGTTTTCAAGGGTCCAAACAATATGTTACGATGTTAACTGTCCAAAATCAAGACAATAATTAAGATTTCACTCTATACACCTAGTTTTAAGATTTTAAACATGTTAAAACTTTAACTGTCCAAAGTCAAGACAATAATTAAGATTTCACTCTACACACCCAATGTTTTAAAACAATACATCAAAATATAAAATATTTACCATATGTACAATATTTAATATATCATTCTTTACCCAAGTCATGTTTTCAAAGACTTAAACAATACCTTACAATATTAACTTGTCTAACATTATATCAAAATGCTACTTTTTTATTTGTTCAAACAATGACATAATGTTAATTGTCTACTTTTAAATTTACTATTTGAGATGGCATTCCTTACCCAGGCCAAGTTTTCAGAGGTTCAAACAATATAAGCAATGTAGGTTCATAGTAACCATGCAAAAACTGGAGATCAATGATGTTATCAACTTTTTCATCTAATTCTGACAACTTTATGGTATATGAAGCCAAAACTGATGATTTACTGTAAAAAAGAGAATTAATTATTGACGATAATGTACAAATGGCTTTGTTTTGTCAAACATATTAATTTGAAGGTTATTTGTCAAAAAATGCTGAATCAGTTTTTTCTTGTACATTTTTACTTAAACTAATTTCTTATTTATTACTTCACAAGTTGAAGTCACAAAACTTGTAGAATATACAGTCTCTAACATCCACAAAACTTGTAAAATAGTTTTTAACATCCATAAAACTTGTAAAATATAGTTTTAACATCCACATCTTGTAAATATAGTCTTTAACATAAAAATGCAAATCCAATTTCTGTTGATCTTAATGAACATTACTTAGTTTACTGTAGAAAACAGTTTAAAAACATCACAGGTAAACAATTTAATATAATTTTAAATAGAGTTACACTTAATTGCATACAAGTAATTACTGGTTTTGTGGGTATGTTTTATATAATCTAAATGCTAGTTCTTATTCCTTAACACAGCTAAGTAACAGATTACTATCATTTCTATACAATGAAATTCACCTTTCTTTACATTTCCTCACCACAAACCATTGGTCTGTAAGTTCTGTCAAGTAATTTAATATGCTAGTCACACCTACATTTGTGTAGCTCAATATTTAACTTAACTTGTAAGTTACTAATTCTCTATAATGTAGCAATCCTTAACACTATCCATCATTTATGCTGAAGCTCTGACACAAATTAGACAAACACAAAGACATTTGGAAATATCACAGATACCTACATCAACTTAACTTGCTAACTCTCTAGAATATAGTAATTCTTGGTATTGATTCATCAGGCATAGAGAGGCTCTGACATAATTTAGACAAACACAAAGACATTTGGAAATATCACAGACACCTACATATGTCAAACACTATAATCAACCTTTAACTTGCTAATTCTCTAGAATATAGTAATTCTTGGTATTGATTCATCAGGCAGAGAGAGGCTCTGACATAATTTAGACAAATAGAAAGACATCATTTTGGAACGTCATACCAGTTCCCTACATGTATGTTAATCTACTACCTGATGGGGTTTGTAAGATAAGGACACCACCTACTGAAAACCAATATACAGGAATTGTAAAAACAAAAGCTTGTAGCAGTCACACACACTGGAGAATAATGATAATTCATACAAAATATAATATTTAATCAAAGTTAAAGTGTACAAGGATGAAGTTCATTCTAAGTAAACAAAACCATCACAACATAAATGAGAACAATTATAAGATTATTTTTACAGAATAAACTTCTATATTTTAACTCTTATCATCAAATTATAAAGATTAAGAGAGAGCATAACAAGAGTAATCTTTATATTCTGTTCATATGATAACCCACAAGGCCACCCTTCCACTGTAGCACACAAAATGTTCATCCAATGTAATATACCCATGCTACATGCATTATTAAATGTTACTTTAGTTTGGCATTGGCTTTAGGTATTTTGCTATCCATCTCCTCTCTTGGCTGACATGAACCCTCATTCACAGCACTAAGGCAGTAAACTTGAAATGCCTGCTAAATCCAAATCACTTGTCCAATTGCTTATCAATTTACATTCAATCTTTGGGAGTTCATCTGAGATTTACTATCCAACTTCATACAAATTGATTTGGCAAGCTCCTCACAATAGCTTGTGAAATCAGACACTTGGATAACTCTGATTTATATATACATATACATACAAGAGAACATTCTTATACAGAAGAATACATATAGGGAGGAAGATCTTATGAAATTGCAAAAAAGTAACATTCTTCAATAGAATAAAATGTGTAAAAAGAAATATCCTTCTATGAAACTAGTAAAAAGAACATTCTTTAATAGAATAAAATGTGTAAAAAGAAATATCCTTCTATGAAACTAGTAAAAAGAACATTCTTTAATAGAGGAGTAAGTTTATGAAGGAATATCCTTCTAGGAAACTATTAAAAAGACATTCTTTTATAGAGGAGTAAGTGTAAGAAGGAATATCCTTCTAGGAAACTATTAAAAAGAACATTCTTTTATAGAGGAGTAAGTGTAAGAAGGAATATCCTTCTAGGAAACTATTAAAAAGAACATTCTTTTATAGAGGAGTAAGTTTAGGAAGGAATATTCTTCTAGGAAACTATTAAAAAGAACATTCTTTAATAGAGGAGTAAGTTTAGGAAGGATGATCCTTCTAGGAAACTATTAAAAAGAACATTCTTTTATAGAGGAGTAAGTTTAGGAAGGAATATCCTTCTAGGAAACTATTAAAAAGAACATTCTTTTATAGAGGAGTCAGTTTAGGAAGGATGATCCTTCTAGGAAACTATTAAAAAGAACATTCTTTTATAGAGGAGTAAGTTTAGGAAGGAATATCCTTCTAGGAAACTATTAAAAAGAACATTCTTTTATTTAGAAGAGTATGTGTAGGAAGGATGATCCTTCCAAGAAACTGTTAAAAGGGACATTCTTTTATAAAAATGTAAAAAACAAAAACTAGGAAAAATGAAAATTCTTACCAAAAGTTCAAAAAAGGAACATCTTTTCACAACAAAATATAGTGAGTTATCTTATACAGTATTCTATTTGAAACCTAATAACCACCTTTGATTTTGAACTTACTAACCTGCCAGGAAGAAGACTGGAATCCTGGTCTTCAGTAGCAGAATCTTTACGAAAAGGAAGAATAACTAAATTTTTCCCATACACCATCATAGCAGCACATCGACCTTCTGGGTCTACTCGTACAAATGGTATCTGATAATGCTGAGTAAATCCACCCTGAAGATGCATAAAAAGATATTAACAGTCTTAGGGAAAACATGTACTAAGGATATTAGGTGAAAATCATACCATAAATGTCCTAAATTTTGAAAAAACAAACAACAAACAAAAATGTGTGAACACTTTGACAATTCCAAAACATCTAATAAATACTTCCTGTTATTACGTGCTTGTGTTGTTTTATCATGAATATCAAAAGTTTAAAAATTCCATTACTGCTTAGAGCAACAACTTTACTCAACACACATCAATCTTTTATTCTGAGTTACTGTCTTTTTTTGCCAAAACTAAACAAAGAAACATAAGATCCCTGTACATTACAATATGTTCTTTCTATGTTATAAACATGACCAACATCAATGCCAGAGAGAGTGATAAATATTTCTTAAAAGCCAGAGGGTATGGGAGAGGAGTGTCAATGTTGGCTGAACAAAAAGTGATATCTTAGTAAAGCAAGAAGGTAAGAGGTTGAAACTTTATATCATAGCTTGTCAGTATCTATAGAATGTTTCTCTAATTGGTTGAATAACTTAAAGTGCTTATAAGGGAAGAGAAAAACTTGTAAATGAGAAATTACTGTGATACAAAGTCATGTGACTCTGGCAGTTACATATTGTGTACTTAAATATTTCCTTTTAATATTACGAAATTAAAACTTATGTAATATAAAAATTAGATTTATAAACTATGTTTTGATGCCAAGTTTATTGACATATATTTATAATAAAGTAGTTTACGCAAGTTTTGAATGTAACTCTGTATAAAGGTTGCGACAAGTGCACTTTGACCTTGCCGTATCCAAAGGGTTAACTTTAATCACATTACAGATTTCAAACTGTTAGCCATGTTGGAAGTATGTAGTAGACTGAGATGAAGCATGATTTCCAGCTGTTAGCTAGGTAGAAAGTCTGTACTTGATAACAACACACATGTAGTAGACTGAGAGAAAGCATGATTTCCAGCTGTTAGCTAGGTAGAAAGTCTGTACTTGATAACAACACGCGTGTAGTAGACTGAAATGAAGCATGATTTCCAGCTGTTAACTAGGTAGAAAGTCTGTACTTGATAACAACACGTGTATTAGATCACATGTAAAAGTATAAAGTAGCTGCTTTCTTCAAGGAAAACGTTACCTCCCTACTATGAAATCATGCTGAAGCTTCCTCAAATTTTGTTTTTTCTGTTTTACAATAACATCCAAGAAATAAATTACTTTACCTTGAATTCACGAATATTATTATACTAACCACAAAATATGAATAAAACTGTTAATGTTTACTTTTATTTTGTCTTTACCACACATCTACAGTTTTACTGAATATTCTGTGTTTTACAAGTCAATTTTAGTTGGACTTACCTTCATATCATAATCTTCAAAATAATGAAGAGAGAGAGTTTTCAAGTCATGAGTGCTAGGATCATATTCAACTACTGAGAGCTAGAACAATATAAAAAAAGTATATTTATATTGTAACATTTTGGTTGTTAAGACTCAAAGCAGGATCTAATTTATTAAAAACTAGCTGAGGGTATCAGTTCAGGAAATTGCATGAAGGAAAATGTTAGATAATGTTCCCCTTTCTTTTTTGTTCTGTTATTAAATCCTAATGACATCATTAGATGCTAATTGCATATCCTACTATGTGAAAGGTAATTATTGACTAATTAAACTGATTAAGTACTTGTGTTTTTAAGTTCAAAGCCAAAAGTCTATAAAACAAAAAAGTGTAGAAATGTGCCCTATTTCAGGAAGTTTTTTATTTCCCTTCTCAGGCATAAATCATAAAACAAAATAGCCTATGTACCAGTCAACTTTAGGTGATGGATGCTAACACACACACACACACATAACAATTCATGTTTAAAATAAGATTCTATAATTCTCACCATACTAAAGCTTGTATGTAGCTATTACCAAGCTACTATACACAACACTTGATCATCAAAATCTTCAGCAAGGAAGGCTAAGATTGAACTAAAAACTACTTTTAAGTATAAAGATATCACACTCTTCACAAAACTTTTAACAATTTCTTAACAAAAAGCTTTAATATTAGAAGATAATGAAAAGATAGTATATGTAGGAGGTCAGTTTGTATATATATATATATACAGATAACCTCATATCAGTGTTGAGCTAAAAAGACATACATTTATAATTAATGCACAATTCCAATAAAGATAACTTACTCACGTAGAATAACTAAGATGTCTATTTTATCAACAGGTTATCAGTATTTATCAATGAAAGTTAATTATGAAATTTCTTGTAGTATAACTATGTTTTTGGTCATTATTTCTCATTATTTAATACCTTTGCTTCCTGAAAACTGAGTAAAAGAGCATTACGAGGTGACCCTGTGAGCCTAACAGCTTGAAGTGACATAATGTTGCCGTGCAGAGAAAAGGACTGGGTGCACTCTAATTTCAGTTTTGGTTGTTTGTCATTTTCTCCTAGTTTATCAGAAACCTAAGAAATATATTTTATGTTTTAGTACATAATATTTATTAAATTCTATTACATAGAACTTTGAAATATTTCTTACTTTTTATCCTTTAAATTTTAATAGCTTAAAAAGCAAATTTATCAATCCAATTTTTTCTTTTTTTTTTTGCATATATATATAATATTGCTTGAGTTGTTGTCATCCTTTCTAACAATTAAGTTCTGGTTATTTATAAGAATTAAGTGATTAGGAGATTTTAAAGAACACACTACTACAATATGTTTGTTCATTTCACTTGATGAAACCTTTATTCCATACCTCTGCTTCTGGTACAAGTCTAAAAACTTTGAGATGAGATGCTTGTGCAACAATCAAATTATGTTCTTCCATGTTGTAAAAGTTACAGTAAAGGCAATGCTCTACTCCTGTTGGTGGATGAGTCTGCTTGTGAAAAGCATACATATTGGATGCCATCTTTAGCTTGTTTAGGCCTGAAATTTAATGAATATAACAATGTAATTCAAAATTTTATAAAACAAAACATGGTGACCTTCCACCAAGTATCAATTCAAGTATTTAGCACCTCCAAGATCTACAACAGCAAATAGAATACAAATACATTAGTAACTCAGTTCATTTAGTTCAGTGACTGTTTTTTAAGTAAAATTATTAAAACTGAACAATATAGGTGCTCCCTAATGTTAATAAAACACCACTGTGTGAATGGTAGACAAAAAGATCAACTAAAACTGACAATATATTACACACAGCAGGTGATTTTCATTTACTCATGATCTATTTCAGTTTCTAGATCTAGCTGTTTATCAACCAATAAATATTTTACCAAATTTTCTTTTTCTATAATTAAACTACAAGTTGAAAGTTGTGTCACCAATTAAATGTTTATTAGTTTTTCGACTACCATTATGACACAACTATTTGAAAGTATACATATGAAACTTTTAGTTTCTATTACTATAACAGCACTATGTTATGGTTAATAGCTGCCTGTATGATAACCTAGGTCTAACTATTAGTTAATTACTTTATTAATTACTAATTATGAACTTGTTTTCATCCTATGTTCTGGCTACTAATCTGCTCTCATCTTCAGAGAAGTTCCAAGGAGGACTATTTCTGTCATAATAGTAATTTCTATTGTAACTAAAATGCTACATTTAACACTAATAAAACAAAAAAAAAAATGCTTGGAAATTGAGTATGAGGATAAGTTAGAACAATTTCCATGTTTTTTTTGGTTTAATTATTGTGAAATGTAGCATTATAATTTTTATAATGTCCAAGGATTAACATAAATTGTTGATATTTTGCTTTAGATACTGAAGACAGAATCTTTAGAATTCTGGAATGTTCATCTGTTTAAATAACTAAACAATGTTGATCCTTTTTATCAACAAACATTACACATTTACGGGAAAATTGTTTGAACATATGGTAGACAAATATTCTTCCTCTTAATCTTAATAAAGTTAGCACACTGTGAAATTTGTTACACAACTTACTATAAGTTATTTCAATGCTGTTTCCATGTAATTCTCTGTAAATAAATTCAATTAACTCTTCTTTATATGAACAGTTCTGTATACACATGGTGAAAGATGATGTTGTTCAAGAAAAGGAATGTCACAATTTTTTGTGTTAACTGGAACAATGTCAAATTGATTAAATATTCCAATAATTAATAGAATTAAATATATTTGAATCATTAGAAATAATTAAGAGCTCAAAGTTAATTTTAAATAGAAATTGTGGCTCAGGAGTTAAAGAAGTTTATTGCCTGGAAACTGTATTAAAAGAAGGATAAATACATGGCAACCCTACATATGCTAATTGTTTTTTGCATTATATAAACAGTACAACAGGGTTCTTTACTACAGTCTTCTTCCTGATCATGGTGGCTCACTGAAACATGTAGAAAATGTTAGATTCAGCCTGGTGTCTTTAAAAGTATTTTTTTAATGTACTGTGTAAATTTTCACATTGTCTTATATTGATTTTAATAAGCACTTTATACAAGGCTAGGTCAATTAAGTTTTAAGCCTGGTATTATTCACATCCATTTCACTTTGTAAAAGTTATCTTGTTATTGGAGTTACTTCAAATTAACATCCAAGTGCGTATAATTTTATTAAACTATCATAAACAAACTACTGTAACATTTTAACAAATTTAATATTACAAAGATTAGTATTCAGAATACTTGAAAATATTAAAACTTATGGAGAGCATTGCATACAGATTGCCACTTTAGCCATCACATGAAAAAATATGAAATTTTAGATTTCCTTATTATGTTAGTATTATTCTGATATACTGTATATTCTTCTTTTCTGGCATGATGAGCTACTGTAAATAGATCAGTTTATATAGCTTTTGTGTGTCTGTTATACTTTTAAATTCTAACTTTTGTTTTTTATTTTCTGTAACTCCAATTTTATTGGAAACCATACAGCCAGTATTACAAATTTAGCAGAATTCCTGCTAGATCTAGTGGATTTGTCAAGTCTTGTGGAAAATTAATTTTTTATCTAATGATTGATACTCAGATAGAGAATCTAAATGTTTCTGCAGACCATGCAAGTACTGGATTTTATTTTTAACATATTTTTTGGGCTCAGCTTGGAATTTTGATTATTTATAGACACTGTACATAGCTGAAAGCCTTCTACAGTTCACTTAATTCAGATCAATAACATCACATTCAAAATCCTTCTTTCGGTTTTGCAAATTATCTATAATTTGTAAATCTAAAAACGCTTAAATTTTCACAGTATATGATGATTTTTATAAATTATAATTCTTAATGGTCATGTAAAAACTAAGATTGTGTCATAAATTAAAATGACATTTTATAAAGCTGTTGTTCTTCAGATCTAATGTCGTAGTTATTATTAACGATAACAGTATAAGTTAAGTGTAAATTCCAATTCTACGACTGGTAGTGGTACGAGTAAGGAACACTCACTAAGCCTATTTATTATTATAAAATTCCATTCCAGTCAATTTTAAATTTAATACCCAATTAACACCTAATTATATATATATATATATCCAAATAAGTGTGAGTCTTATAAATGTTAAGTATAGGGCAAAGTAAAATATACAGACAACAACTGAGTTATAATTAAATTTATACTTCTTACTTTTACTCAACTAATTTAAACCCTTCTTTAGCTTCTTGTGCGATAACCGGCATTTTACGCCATCTATAGTTATAAAATAAGTAATCAATATCTCAGTTAAATTTCTTTCAGCGTATTTTATTTTGAAAATAGTCTATTTAATACCGAGAGTAGTGGTTTTATTGTATAGGATTTTATCAGGCACTCTTTAATGTGTCTCTTGGCTAATAGCTTGAATACCTTTTTAATTTAGAAACTTACAAAAAATCTGAGCTGTCGAAGTCTAAATGCAACAACTTGAAAATGCGCCATACTTATTCTAATATAAGGTATGCGATATGCGAAAAATTAATTTCTGTTTTTATTAAAAGTTTGCCCTTGAAGAAGATAGGTTCATTTTTCGAAAGCGCTCGGGTTATAGGGTTTTTATCATTTTGTATCAAGACCTATTGAACCTACGAGTTTTTCTGACATCGTGAATATTTTTATTAAATATGCTGCCAAGAAAAGAAAAAAAACCTGATGCTACCTAGAAGGTTATGACATAACAAAGTTGAATTTTTAATTTAAAAGTTTTGTACTAAAAGTACAGCCCTTAATTAAAATCTCCATATAAACAGGAATATGCTGACATACAAGAGTACAAAAACAACTATTATACCATACCCATTTCATACTCTAAAATCTGATGGTCTTAAGGTAAGAGATAACTGATGTATTTCTGGAACTTGAGAGTGAAGGAAAATTTTGTGAACTTATGTGCTTTCCTGATATCATCATTAATAATATTGTTGCGTCAGCGAGGTCACGTAACTAGTATCACGCCACGTCCTTCTCGAACCTTCGTGAATTGTCGGGAGACTACTAGATTGGGGGTAGCTGGTATATATAAGACCGTCACAACGTGACGGGCGTGTGTGTGTGTAATTGAACTGAGTATTGTTGAAGTC